TCTTGAGTAAAGATGACAAAAAAATCAGAATACCCATAGAAGTACAGATAAACAAAATGATAAAATTAAATTTGATAGAATTAATATACACATGTTGTACATTTAATATAATTAGAAAAGATTTAGTGCCAGAAGATTGTAGACAGAAATTAGAATATAAAATAAGAGGAACTCAAATGGAAGGTAGTAAAATGAGAATCGAAGAGAGACTTTTTGATGATTATAAGATTAAATTCCAAGAAAAACAGTATAGTTTAACGGCTACATTAGTAAGCGCATTGATAAAAGATGAGTTTGTTATAGGTATAAAATTTTTGAAATGGAAGTTTAACAATTACTCCTGATGTCATAATTTTTGGAAAAGACACTTTTATCATTAATACTATAGAATCATCAGAGTTGCGAGCTAAGTGTGGTGGACCCTTACAACCAGGACCAGAACAAAACCCAGAAATTGAAGAAAATTTAGAATTTTTAGATAACTTATCTTTAGAAACTTTAAAAACAGATTTTATACCAAGAAATAAAGAATTAATAAATTTTAACAAGACATCTTCTAAGATAGATAGTATAGACAAAATTTTAGAATTAATTGAAAAGATTCAAATAATTGGAGAAACTCTATAAAACATTGGAATAAAAATAAAATAGAAATAATAAATAAAAATATAAAAATTAGAACAGCAGAAATAAAAACATACTAATCAAGAAATAGAAGATTTTAACATACAGACTAAATAATTATTAGATTTAAAAGTAATAAGATCGTCTAGTAGTCAACACAAATCAGAGGCCTTTATAGTTAGAAATCATAGTGAAATAAAAAGGGGAAAAGCAAGACTGTTTATAAACTATAAAGATTAAACGATAATACTGTAGAAGATGGATATAAGATACCAGATAAGGATACGCTAATAAATAAAATACAAAATAGCAAGATATTTTCTAAATTTGATTGTAAATCTAGATTTTGGAAAATAAAAATGGTAAAAGAATATATAACTTGGACTGCTTTTAATACTCCATTAGGACACTTTGAATGGTTAGTCATGCATTTTGGATTAAAAATACACTCTCTATTTTTCAAAGAAAGATGGATAGTATATTTAATTCTCTTCCATTTGTTTGTGTATATATAGACAATAATCTAGTACATAGTAAAAACTATAAAGAACATATGAAACATTTAGAGATAATCTTGAATAAATTTATAGAAAATGGTTTTATTATAAGTAAAAAGAAGATGGAAATAAATAAACAAAAATTTGAATTTTTAGGAATAATTTTAGGAGAGGGAAAGATTCAGTTACAGCCACATATAGTACAAACGATTTTATAATTTTCAGACAAAATTGAAGAAGCCAAGAAATTACAAGCCTTTTTAGGAATATTAAATTATGCTGGACATTTTATTAAAGATTTAGGAAGGAAAGTAGGGTAATTGTATAGTAAATTGTCTAGTAAAGGACAAAAATGTTTTAATCAATCAGATATACAATTAGTTAAAAAGATAAAAGTAGAAGTTAAAAATTTATCACCATTAGAATTACTATTAGATAAAATAATAGAAACAGATGGATATGAATTAAGATGGAGTGTAATTTTATATTCCAAATCAAATAATATAGTGATAAAAAAGAAGAAAAATTTGTAGTTATGCCAGCGAAAAATACAAGATAAAATAAAAATATTTAACTAGCTTAGATTATGAAATAATGGCCATCATACATAGTATAGAAAGTTTTAAATTATTTTTAAATACTGAATTTACAATTAGGACAGATTGTGAAGTTATAATAAAATTTATTAAAAAGACAAATTTTGATAAGATAAGACATAAAAGATGGTTGAAATTATATGAGATATTAAGCAGTTATAAAATTAATATAGAACATATTGACGGAAAAAAATAATATTTTAGCAGATAATTTAAGTAGGCAGATTATTAATTTTCCAACTCATTATCTTCATAGTGCAGATGGATTAAAGAATGATGAACATTGGGAATGTCACTCTAAGAGTGGCTTCTCAAGGATCTAATCTTCGATTCAGATGAAATAATTTAGAAAGACTACTAGAAAGGGAACATTGTCTATTAGATAATCTCTGGATGACACGTGATTCTAAACAAAAATTAAACAGCATTAATGCCCTAGCTAACCATTTTAAACAGATTCATAATCAAGTAGAAAGCAAAAATTTTAGTTTTTTAGTAGTAATTAAAGGTAGAAAGCCTAGAATATATAATTATTGGCCAGAAGTACTACAACAAATAGAAAGATTTCCCGACCCACTTTTCAAAGGATTTTATATGCTTAAAGAAGCTTTAAATTTTTGTAGAGAAATGATAGGATTTAATTTTCATATATCCGAAAGAATTAGACAGACCATGCAAATCCCCCCTCAAGCTTCATCATCATTTTCATCGATACAACTTTGTAATAGTTGTGAAACTATGATCAAAGTTGTTAGAAATTTAAATCATAGAAAACATTCTTTAGAAGAAAGACTACAACTCCTCGAAGATCAAATTTCTTCATCCCAACAAATCATTAGTAAATATTAAAATGAGATTCTTAAATTGCATAATAGTTTAGACAGACTTAGTTCTTCTAGAAAGACACTTGAAAAACCCATTTCTAAAGACATCGCATCTACAAGTAGAAATTATTCTGATAAAATAGAAAGACTTATTGGACTAACAGATTCTACAGCTGCAGGACAGGAAAAGACTTTATATGAATTAGAACAGAAAATTGATGATTGGCCAGTATTGTTCGAAATTCTATAAAGAATTTCGTTGTACAGGAAATTATAGATTTCGCCCAAATTTTAAGTTACTATCATATTGAAAATAGATACTTCCTTAGACATAGTCACAAATACGATGCAACCCAAAATTCAACATTCCTTAAACACAATTATCCAATAATTTTCTTCGATTATACAATCTTTGAAGAAGAATACCTCTTTTACCCAGCTTTACAGTTTGGTATGATAGATACTATATACATATTAAACAGATCTTTCCTATTTTTTCCACCAAAACTCAAATAGATTCTTGATCAGTTAAAAGACCATCCCTTAATGGTTCAATTCATTCCATACCCCCTCGTGTAAATAATGACATTGTAATTCTAGCTTATCATCATATTTTAATTTATGAAGGAGCCAAAATATTTAGATCCTCTTTAAAGGACGAATATTAAAATAAATATTAGACAGATTGATTATGAAAGAAAAATATCAGAAACCGCAGCCATGATGGAAGTTCAAAATAATGATTTCAGAGTAGTAGCACAATGGAACAACGGAATTATTTTCCGCCAAGAGCACCTTGCCATGAGAATTAAAGCAGAAGAAATTCTAGTATCAAATATTGAACAAAAGAATTTATATCTAATGGCATTTCAAGAGACTAATGGAGAATTTACAGAAATCTTATTATATACAGAAGAGGAAGCTATATATCTGATAGCAACGATAATGAGATGAATCCAAAACTAGAAGAAGTCATAGCATAAATGATGGACAGATAAAGACGAAATAGAAAGACGGAGAAATGATTAGCAAGACAATGAAGTCAAAAGGAAAAGGCGTAAAGATAAAGCTATTGAACATATTTCAAACATTTGCAAAGTTGATTCTCATATTTCAAAAAAAGTCAGGCGTGAAGAGAAAAGTTGTTAGAAGCATCTTTTCAAATAATTCATTCTTTAATTACTCACATGGAGAATTGTATATTATTCTTTGATTTTAGATCACATACCTGTAAAGTTTGCACAGTATTCTTCAATTATTGATAGCACACTTACAACACTAACTGAATAGACATGATGTACTAGCGTCTATAAATACACACACCTCTTACAAAAGAAAACACACACCGAAGAAAGCACAAAGCACACTATCATACTTGTACTAAAAAATCTCCACCATCTTTGTAAATTCAAAGACATCCTTATAAATTCAAAGAGTTCGTAATTAAAGTAAGTTCTTTTCATATCTTTTCTTGTTTATAATTTTCGTTTACTTTAGTTATTTTTCGGGCAAAGCATAAAAGGGGAAACACCAAGTAAGCAATTAATTTATTCATAAATAATATTTTATTTCATTTTCAAAAACATATTTTTAATATTCTTAACCTCTTTATTCTGGATTCCATGGCCAAAAGATAAAGTAATACTTTGAGTTAAGTTGGCTAATTTGTGTTCCAATTGTGAAAATTTGTTAAAACCTTTTTAAACATGATGAAAATCATTTTGACTACAGTTTTAAGCCTTCTTTAAAAGGTCAAGAAAAAAAGCTAGGAGATAATTAAAAAAAGAAAAAAAAAAGAAAAAGAGTCTGAAGAAATTAATTTGCTGAACGGTAAAGTACTTAAAGACCATTATAAACATATCGTTTTAAAATTCTAATTTTTTATATCTTTAAATTACACTGTCTTACTTGTTCATTGAAAAATCTTAACGAATAAATTAATACTTGTTTAGAAAATAGAGAAATAGGAAGATTAGTCGTTGTAGGAAGTTATATTTTATCCGCTCTAGATAGAAACAGAGGTGACCCCTCTTTACAGATCAAGAAACAAATTATTGAGCTCTCTATCTCTCAGTATCTGAGTTTCTTGATAAAGGATCCTCAATATTGTAAAGAAAGACAACAACGAGCAAATATTATAAGAGAAAATAATAAAAGAAATTTTAGTAGAACTAGTTAGATATTTTTAGCTATTGAACTTTAGTAACAAAGATAAAATAAATTGATGTAGAATTTTTCAAACTTTTTGTCTTCAAAAATTAATTGCTAGTAGACTTTTTATTTATTGGTAGGTTTTTCAAAACATGTGTGTAAATTTTTGAAAAACTTTTTGTTACAAGTGTTTTTCTTACAAGACTTTCTTTTAATTGTTATTTTCCTACAAGAAAATTTTCTACAAATAGTTATTGCTAGGAAAGAAAAAGTCTAGGAAATATTTGGTATTCAAAACGTGTATAAATTACAAAGACAAGATTTTGAATTAATAGCCACCTTTAGTAATTGCCACCCAGATATTTTATTAGTTTCTAGTTGTTTTAATTGGCATTTACGTAGAAAATTTTCTTACTTGTCATTTTCAAAATTTTCTTTGAAGTCTTGCTCCCGAATTGGTATAATTTTAGTTGTCATTTTCAAAGTGTTTTTATTTTCTCTTTTTGACAAACACCATTTGCTACAAGAATTTTCTTGCGAAGTCTACTTTCAAAGAAAAAGTATTTCTCCCGAATTATCACAAACAATCGTGAATTGAATTGGTATCAAAGCCTATAAAAGTAAAAAATTATATAGTTTATGAAAAGAATCGAATATTTAAATTTAGAAATTCTATGAGTATTCTGATACTTTTTGTCGTCTTTACTCTAGATTTTTGACAAATTATTTCTTCCTGATTTTCTGTTTCCAAATAATTATTTTTTTGTGTAATTATCTATAGGTTGTTTTCCTTTTGTTTTTAGATTTCTGATTCTGTATTCTATTTCTCCTAATTTTCGTTTATTTTATCTATTCTGTTATTTTATTTTCTATTCTTTCTATACTTTCATTATAGTCTTTATTTTTATTATTATTTATTTCTTCTTTATACCTAAACAATTATTTCTTCTAAGCTGCTTCTAAGTTAAGTGTCGAAAAGATCGAAATGGAAAATTAATTAAACGACAATGGCTAGACAGTTGTGGACTTAATTATCTGGTTAATCTTTATGAAAATTAATTAAAAGGAATTTTTTTTAAAGGGTTAATATTGTATATATTATATAACTCAATTTTTTGTTAGTTCGTGTGGAAAATGTTTGAAACAAGAAAAAATGGTAAAATAGTTGGATCACCCAATTTACTGTGAGTAAGCTATTACTAGACGTGGACAAGTGAGTGATAATTCAAAGCACTCTGTGTTACTCCCTCAATCTCATAAAGATAGTGTTGGAGGCGGAAACTCCAATAACACACGTTGACTTAAAATCGAATTATAAAGAACGAGATTTAACGACAATATTGAATTATACTAGATCACACCACGAAAACACAATATTGAATTTGTCAAGAAAGAACACAAAGGGTAAACGCAAAGGAACCATGTTTATTAATTCAACAGTATAGAGAATACAAGATAGATTAGTAATACTGCTTCTATGTTAATCTCTATAAACTGATCAGAGGAGTCTAGTATTTATAGGCCAATTCTAGAAGAGTCCTAAAAGGCAAGAAAATATATTACAATTAGGAGACCCAATTTCAACAGGATTTTGTTTCCTTATTCAACTTAGTTTCCTTAAACCATAAGTTAATGTTTTCCTAGTCCAAGTCAAATACACCTCTTCAAAAAACTCCTATTTGAGTCATACTCCTAACAGATAGTCCCGTTTTCTCTTTTTTGTTTGTCCCAAATTATAGTCTCGTTTCTTATTTAAGATTGTAGTTAATATATTATTTTCCTAATATGTCCCTATTTAATGTGCTTTGTTATTACAAATATAAACCACTCCATTATTCAATTGTAGTTGGAACAATAAATTAAAAATAAAAAAATAATAAATTTCATCTTCAATGATATTTATTCATCTGTATTTGTATTGGATGACTTTGAAATGTTAATTATCTTGATTATTGCATTAAACAATAACAATAATTAGTACTAAGAATAGTTTAACTGCCTTGAATATTGATTGCATTAATGTAGGCGTATGTTAATAAAATGATAGTAAAATTTATTATTTTAATTATATTAACTCAATTTTTTTAGTCTTTGTGAAAAAAGAAAATCTTTATGGGACGAAGGGAGTATATTTTTTTAAATAATGTTATTTAATTCTACAGAGATTATAACATCAATTTATATGGTATTAGATGATACGTTAAAGGAAAGGTGAATTTAATTGACCCATTTAATTCCACTTATTATTTAATGCCACATTAATACAAATTAATGTGTGACACTCGAAATTAATAAAAATCAAAAGCTGGATTCAGACAGCTTTATTTTATATGTTAAAATTCCGTTCATTCAAATCCTTTGGTCGTTACACATGCGATTGGTGAACTAGAAGTGTTAAATGGATCGACTCAAGCCGCTCGAATTGTCTACTACCAGCTCGACTTGATCAACCGTGTGAGTCAGCTCGATCACAAGTTGATTCTCTTCATTGAAATGTAGCTCGACTTACCCTGATGCTTGCCCCTTGGTGTGTGGGGTGGGCCAAGCTCGCGAGCTAATTTGTGCGAGTCGTTCATCAGTTCGCATGTGTGTTTTGTTGCACGACTTGTGCCCACAATTTGACCCACTTTTCCTTTAGTCGCGAACTAATACTTAAAATGTCGTAACACATACTTTCATTTTGTTGACGCTTCTCTGCAAAACTCAATCCAAAACCAAAGTTTTGGGCTCGCACAAATATTTTGTTGCTCAATTCATGTCCAAGGCTGCTTGCTTTAAACACGTGTTGAGTGAGCTCGATCAAATCCAAAACCCTTCCATTTCGATTTGTCACTTTCTAGCAGCCATCACACCTCCATTTTCATTTACAATTTCTACCTAACTTGTCTGTCTTTTATTATTTTTCTTTAAATGATCTCCTCATCACATTGACAATTCTGATCTTGATCCTACTCCTGTTTCTTCTTACACGATCAATCGGTGATGAAGTTGAAGATCACAGACTTTTTACACACGTAATTCTGTGTGATATCGACATACAAAGAGGAAATGTCGTTGTCGGTTGATCTGGAATCGATTTCGGAGGCGACGTCGGGAGCTATAGGTTCGGTGGTGAGCACCACCATATTGTATCCGCTTGACACCTGCAAGGCCAAATACCAAGCCGAGATTCGTGCCCACGGCCGCCGTAGATACAAGTATAAAATTTTCTTTTCGTATCTTTTTCTTCTTATTATATTTTGTTTCGTCAGAGTAATATACACCGTGATTTCTCTTTGGGGTTGCGCTGCCGATGTTTTTCAGTTCCTTTGATTGTAATTCATAATTTATTCACGATAACTGAATTTTAATTGTATCAAGTTTTTAGTCGGTGAAGGCTAGATGTGGGATCGATTTGATTTCTATATGATAAATAATTAATCCCGTTAATATCGAAGTGTACAAGTTGATGTCAACAGCTGGATGATGAATTATGGATCCATCATTAGTAGTCACATCACACAAAAATCTTTCTGTATTTCTCCTCATCTGTAGGGATTTTGAATATATTAGTTGCAAAGTTCCTTTTTTGAGAAAATAAGAGAGTTAAAAAACAATACCGAAGTGATCTTGCACTGAAAATGTCTAGTGCTATACAATTCAATAGCTAAAGATAACTTCAGAGCCAAAATACTGAAAACAACCCATTGCTTAGAATAAATATTCTCGATATCCCAAAGTGATCTTGAAGTGAAAATGTCTAGTGCTATACAATTGAATAGCTAGAGATAACTTCAAACCTAAAATACTGAGACTTGATACTGTTTAACCCGTCAGCTCAAATCTGTTAATATCATCTTGATGTTGGTATTGTTAATAGGATTTTTGTTGATCATAGCTTTTCATAATCTTATGGTTTGCTTGATTTGGGATAGAGTTGTTGAGATATCCTCTAAGAACTTCCTCTCCCAATTTCATTTGCTCGACCAAGTATCCAGTCTTTTGGAGAGATTCTTGTGCTTTATTTTATTTTTGTTATTTATGCTATTTTAGATAACTTTCACTGCGATGCTGGTTATTTATGGCATGGCATGAAATTTATGACGAGGGGGCAGTTATGCCTGTTTAGACATCTGAAGGCCTGCAATATTTATTGTTTCTCTGCAATCTTATACCAAAAGATTTGATATGCCGGACCACATATAGGATCACTGTTTGATTTACATATATTTAATAGATTGCAGCTATATAATGTATCGAAATCTGCTGCTGATTTGCAATTTGGTAATGTATGGCTTTTTTAAAGTGCCCTATAGTATATTACTTTGTACCTATTATTGTGTCTCATTTGGAGTGCAGACAGTTAAATATTGCATATTTGATTTTACTGTATTTGTTATGTTCTTTCATTACTTTGGTTTGTAATTATTTTTTTTTTTAAAAGAAAAAATATGCATGTCAAAAAAAAAAAAAAATTCTTTTAAGCAATGTGAAAGTCAAAAAAATCCAGCCATCACTGTTAAAACGGTGATTTTTCTTCTGTTATCCAAGTTTTGGCTTGTCTTCATCAATTCAATCCGTAGCACTTTTTTCATCTGTATTGTGCTGTTGCATGCCATCTTTCAGACTGGATTTTGCTGATTCTTTAATGACTTCTTTGTTTCATGTTCATAAGATTAGCTTGAATTTACTCAATTTCATGATTATATAATTGAGAGCAAACAGAACATTGCGTTCGAAGATTTTCATTTGCAGTATTCTCCTCCTGAAAAATGATTGATTTTATAACCTTTTACTCATGTCGAGTTATATCACGAAATTTGGAGCAATCCAATCAGGCCTTTACATAGATTTTCATTTGCAGGGGATTCTGAATTTGATGATACCTTCTTTTGGGCCTTAAGACTGAAAAATATTTGTTAAACAAATACAAGGCATTTATGCTCTTATGAGAATATTGGAGTGGCTTATTGGTAATTTAGAAGTTAGTTGTTATTGCATAGAATTAAAGTAAGGTTTCCAGTTGTGTTACTATTCAGAGATTTTTGAAATTTTCATCAAGTCTGACATTATTATTCTGCTTGCTCTATTTCATGTTATGTCTTTACTTCAAAAACATGTGAAGATTTTCTGATAATTGGATTGGGATATGTTTAGGATCTATGACATTTTTTTCTCCTTTAGTTAGCTGAAAGAAATATAAATAAAAGCCACTGACCACATAAATGTCCTTAATGCCTACCAACCCACCAAAAAACAAATGAAGAAAATTGTATTTTTATTTTTATTTTTTTTGGAATAATACACGATCACTTGACATTTTCAAATAGGTTGTCTAGAACTTTAGTGCATAGTTATCAAACTCGGACCGGATAGGCCAGTCCGGCCTGCCAACCATCGGACCTTGATCAGGTCCAGGTGATATAACTGATCAACAAAGTATTTGAACCGGTCAGCAACCGGTTAAACCACTAATAAACTGTCCGAAACCGAGCGGTTTTACGTGGAACCGGATCTGGTTCAATGTGTGAACCGGATGGTTAATAAATTGGAATAAAATGTTGGACTAAATTTTGCAGAAGCCGTGACTTGAACTTTGAATGACAAGGGGATATTTTGTCTCCATAACCATTTTGGCAAGCGATGGTGCCGTGTCTTATGATGAGAGCAAAATATATATATTAGATTTCGAAAAATTGTTTCCTTTTCATTTAAAAAATCAAATTTATTTAAAATTGAAATCTAACAATGACCCATTGGTTGAACCGCCGACCCACCGATTGAACCATTAACCCGGTGACCCGATGATTTTTCCGGGTCAATCACCGGGTCGGTTCTAATAACTATGCTTTAGAGAGAAACTTAGCCTTCAATAAGTAGTAAGTGCAAATCGGATGTAATTATTCATAACTTAGTTGGCATGCATAAATGGGCTTTCAATATTGTTTTTGAAAAACATACATTGTCAGGGGAACTGTATACGTTTATGTAAATCAATCTGCCCTTTTGTTTTTCCTGATTTTGCTCGTGTTCATGTTCAAATTCTGAACTATTTACCCTGTCCACTGCAGAAATCTGTCCGACGTTTTATGGGAGGCAATATCCAATAAACAGGTCCTTTCGTTATATCAGGGACTTGGGACCAAGAACGTGCAATCCTTTATTGCTCAATTTGTGTACTTTTATGGATATAGCTACTTTAAAAGGCTCTATCTGGAAAAGACTGGTTCCAAATCTATTGGAACAAAAGCCAATCTCGTTCTTGCTGCAGCAGCTGGGGCTTGTACTGCCATTGTTACTCAAGTAAGAAGAAATAACAAATTTATCTGGATTTAATTTTGAACCATTTCCATTTTGACATCTTCCCAGTGAATTTGTTTGGACTTGTAGCAGTGTCATACTTTTAAGTGAAGTTATTATCAAGGAGGCAAAGAAGTGCATGGCTAACTCTGTAATGTTGTAGTTTAGATCCTTTATGACAAGAACTGCACCTGGAAATTCCAACTGCATTTCATTATCTTGTTCTTTCATTGAAGTGCTTCATTTTATCTTTTGCATAATTATACTAAGAGACTCTCTCCCCCTGGACTAGAAACGAACAAAGGAATTGCATTCTGAATCTACAGTGTACTATGATTTTGCAGTTTGTGAACAGATCTGGTTCATGTCCTCGGCAGATAAATCTTTGCTGCTTAATGAAGTGGACTTTATCACATTAGTCTTCATTTTAATTACTTTGCAGTGGCATGGCTGTTTCCTTTTCTTCTTTTTGGGTGAGGTTGAGAATTTTCGTTTGCTATTTCACTGAACAGAAGTTACAAAATGTTTAGATTCTTTTTCATTTGTCCATTGTTTTAATACTTTAAACTTCTTTATTTCCGTTGAATTTATGAGTTAACGTGTTTAAAGAAATTTAAGCTGCATCCTAATCCATTTATCTTTATTCAGTGCCTTTTGTAATTTCTATTTTGTTTCATGTAGTGATACTGGACACAAATGTGGCTTGTCTAATTTAAAATTCTCTCATCTTGTTGTGTAGCCATTGGATACAGCTTCCTCAAGGATGCAGACAACTGCTTTTGGAAAATCTAAAGGGCTTTGGGAAACACTTACTGAAGGCAGTTGGAGTGATGCATATGATGGCCTTGGAATCTCTCTTCTTTTGACTTCAAATCCGGCCATTCAGGTACTTTAACTTCCAAGTAATATGAAGAAAAGGAACAATCTATACAGTAACATTGGGTATATAGTCTGCAGGAATGAACCTTGCAATGAACGAAATTTTAGCTTGTTCTCATATTATCCAATACTTTCAACCCCCGCGTACCAAACATGTCATGGTAGTACGACAAAGGCCTAGATATTCTAGAAATGCTATCTATTGCAAGACAATTGTTGTTAAAAACGGTTATTTCCTACATACTGATACTGGATTAATGATCTGCCCAGTATACGGTATTTGATCAACTGAAAGTAAGACTCCTGAAGCAGAAGCAGAATAAAATGGAGACAGGATCATCTCCAGAAGCCCTTTCTGCCTTCTCAGCTTTCATTTTAGGTGCACTCTCTAAGAGCATAGCCACAGTTCTAACTTATCCAGCAATCAGGTATTTCTTGTTTAGTCAATTCTCTTGTCTATTGCATTTATCATTTTATACAGCCATTTAATTACAAAATACAACCAGGTGTAAAGTTATGATCCAAGCTGCAGACACCAATGATGATGTGGATAAAAAATCCAACAGAAAATCCCGTAAAACAGTTTCTAGTGTTCTTCGTGCTATTTGGCAACAAGAAGGTGCCCTCGGCTTCTTCAAGGGACTAAAAGCGCAAATCTTGAAGACTGTATTAAGCTCCGCATTGTTGTTAATGATAAAGGAAAAGATATCTGCAACAACTTGGGTCCTCGTGCTTGCTGTGAGCAGATATTTACTGCTCAAACCTAGTAGGTTGAAGAGCACATAATGTTTTGAAAATTGAGCGAGTCCTGTTTTGTAAATGATGACCCTGTGGAAGTAGGAAGAAATTAGTAGTTCTAGATCATCAGCTGGAGGTGTCATATGAAAAGATGTCCGGTATAAGTTAAAATAATGGTATCAGAAACTCAGGTGAGAGCAAACCTTACGGCTATCATTTAGCTAGATCCTTGGTGTAAGTTCTATTCGGAAGGGAATGGTTGATGAGGTACATTTGAATTATCCAGTAATGTGAGAGGGAGAGGGAGAGGGAGAGGGAGGGCAATTTTCTTCTCTCTTGGTGAACTATTTGTGTTGTGAATTCTCTTAATTTAAAGGTATTAGTACATTATACAGTCTACATGGTGCGATTTAAATTGATGCAATGCAATGCTTCAAAGTCTCTGTATGGGCCGAGCAGGGAATGAGTGCCCCAGTTTCAGAAATCCCATTAGTGGTAATTAAAGTTAGAGGAAATTGGGCTCGGTGTCCTATAAAAAATAAGTATTGTGATTTATACCTTTCAAACTTATTAAACATTTTAATGCAGTAACATCTACGTCCTAATTATTATCAAGAACTCTACCCCCTAAACTAACCTGGTAGAGACCACTCCCCTCATCCCTAGAAACGTTCCCTATATTCATGGGCCATTTTCCCATCTACGGAAAAACGCGACTTCAAATTTTTGTTTCTTACCATTTTCTGTCGATTTCATCTCCATATTCCTCCATCTACGTTCATCTTCAGTCTTCTCCTTGTCATTTCGTGGAGATCTTGAAACACCAACCCTAAAAATCTCAAATAGTCAAAACCCTGACTTGTTCCGATCAAAATCCAGAAATCTAATTTTGAATTACTTTGATACCTAAATCTGATTCCTATTTCTGCAATGACCGGAGAAAGTGGGTTGCAGAAGAAAAGAGATATTGATGAAGAACCATCTTCAAAGAAAAATAAATCTTATATACCCAAGGTAGCATTAATTTCTTCAGTTTCCGCTCGTGTGTACGTTTTATTTTTTGTTTCATTCTGGTTTTGATATTTCGTAAGTGACTTTTCTGATTCTGTTCATTGCATACAAACTGCTCAAACATTGTAAGAACCAAAGATTTAGAGAATTTAGAAGCATTATTTTGTGTTCATCTTCTTGATTTTGTTTTTAAGGGAAAATGGGGGATTTTATTGAAGAGTTCAAATAGGATTTTGGGTTTATGGGATTGTTGAGATTAGAGGGAGCATGGGAAAATGGTGGGAGGGAACAAAAGATTGTGTGAGTTTGGAGGATGTGGTGTGTGGACACTATGGAGTGGGTATGATACAATTGTCCATTCATGTAGCAGATCACGTGATTGTACGATGACCGCAGAGTGCAACCTTTGTTCTTAAGTTTTGGGGATTCCAATCTATGTGAGTGTATATGTGTATCGCAAAATATCTTAATTATCTCAAAAGTAACAAGTCGCGTAGTGACCTTTTTGGTTTAAGCAAATTAAATCAAACAAGAGATAGAAAGTTGAGAAAGAGGAAAAAATAAGAAAATATGCTATTTCCTCACTTCAATTTGACATGTTATTCTACTATGTTTCAAAAGTAATTGAATTGCAAATTTTCATCATGTTCTCAGTTTGAATTTTTGTTCAGTTTCAATTTTTTGCTACTTTTTTGAAATAGCATCTACAACATATATGCTGTTATGGACACAGCTTAAACACTAACTTGCATTTCTAAGACAAATTTTAGTGCATTTGAAAATACTTGGATATCTTGTTTGGATGATCCCTTTTATTGTTTGCGTACCTTTCGAGAAGCACCTTCGAACTTCCGACTTTTCATACCCGGTTTTTACATGTAAAAATATAACTATAATCAGGGGCGGACCCGACCTTTTGTACTGTGGGGTCAGAAATTAAAATGTAAATTTTTAAAATATATATATATATATTAATAAAAATAAGTCAATACACTATTATAATTGTAATCTACACATCTTGATACTTTAAAAAAGTCTTATAATTATATCATTATCAAGACTGTCAAATGAATTTTGTTACTTGTTTATTATTGTTTACCAACTCGTTGACAAATTCTGAGCCGACGGCAAGTAAATCAAGCTGAATGTAGGAAGTAAATAAATTGAAATAAAATTCAAATTCGATCTGGGAAGTAAATGGAATTCAAATTTAATTTGAAAGCAATTTAAATTACATTTGATTTATAGCGAACTCCATGTAAAATTTGCTAATAAAATGATGTAAATTATATTGAGAAATTTGTTGTGCAAAAATAATAAATGTTAATGAAATAATTAAAAAACTATAAAAGAAAGACAAGTTAGACGTCTTTTTTAGAGACGTACGTTTGATGCACGTTTAATTCTTTTCGATATTCATTTGGACCATTCGATATAAACGAACTTCTAAATGACGTAGACGATTTGTGTATTCGGCTAGAGTATGATTGTCGACGAATTTTTAAAGTTAACTATTATCGTAATTCTCAAAATAGTAGTTTGGAATGGTCGACTTTGATGCACCGTAACTTTTGCTATGGTTGACCATTTCATGCAACATTAATGAGTGAAAAACTAGGCCGTAAGCTCTTCGAAATGGTTTTAATAATGTAATATTTTGACTGCGTTTGACATTCTTGAACCTTGATCTCTGTGGTCCATATGGGCAGAATTTTTATTTTTATTTTTCTCTTCTTCTTCTTAAATTTAAACGTGAAATTTGAATAAAAAGTTGATTTTTGTCCACTTGAGCTACGCTACAGAATATTTTATTAGATGATAGTCGTCCTTGAAAAGGAAAAAAATTGTAATGATCAATAATTAAAGTAGCGAATAACTTGGAATATAATTTCAAATTGTAAAAGATACCTTTTCTAAGAAGACTTACCAAATTTTGACTCCCGAGTCCAAATCCAAAGCGGAGACATCCGACACCTTTATAAATACACATACACAGCAAAATAATAGAGAAAAATCAATCTTGAAAGTACAATAATTTTCTTCTGGTTCTATTCACATTGAAATATAGGGTTTTTGTCATGGCAACGAAGAGCTTTTCCTTACCAGACTTGAAGTTTCAGAAGATTTTAGAGAAGCCAATGGAGGAGAAAAGGCAGAAGTTTAAGGTAAAGATGATGCTTCCTTTCGACGTGTATTGCGAACATTGTGGCTTCTGCATGGGAAAGGGCAATAGATTTGCAGCAGTGAAGGAAGAGGCGGGATGGGAAACGTTATTTGAGATACCCATATGGAGGTTCAAATTCAGCTGTTATTCATGTTCCGCTCCTTTTGCGATCAAGACAGATCCTGGCCGATATGACTACGTTGTCGAGTTTGGTGCAACCTTGGTTCCTAAAAACATTAAGCCTTAAACAATCTAATTTCACTATCTACTCATGGAACACAATATATTTTATGGTTTTTGAATTTTTCATTCTAAGGTTGTTAGTGCACTTTTTTTTGAATGAATAAAATAATTCACTTGGATTTTTCGAGTTATAAGATGTTTAGCTGCATATTCAATGTTGATAGCAAAGTATTAAGATTCGATTGATGGCATAGCTGATGTGATTGATCAATAAATCTTTTATGAATTAAACAATTATCTTGACGTTCAAGAATCTTTACGAAGAATAAAAGAAATATAAATTTGGATCTAAATTAAAATCAAGTATAGTTCAAGATACATCAATTTAAAGTTCTCATGATAACGACTTTGAGAGAGAAATAGAAGAAATCATGCTTTTAAGTTTTCATTATAAAATTTTCAGATGCTATAATTTTTTTATATACAAATTAGGATTACTCTTTTTCAGAAAATATTTAAATATTATTAGTAGATGTTTTTATTCAAATTATATACAACGGAAGTCTGACAGTTTCAACATTATTTGGAGATCAGAAATAGAGGTTGCACGCATAAACGACATAATTCACAATTGCTGTATTTTATTTTTGCAACACATGTTATCAAGCAACATTCTTCTCCTCTAGTCAGAGTTGAACGTGAAAATACTTTATAAGAACTGTAAAATTAATTTTTGATTCCAATTTGTTCGAATGATTTGATAAGTTTCGAACGAATTAAAGAAAATAAAATTTAGGATAAAAATCTAAGATAAGAAAATTGTACTCTCAAAACTCAACTTTTATAATTCAAATTTTTTATGATGATGGAATACTATAAATGAGCAAGACTTTTATACTATAAAAATTAATTGCTAATATTTAATTTAAACACCCATTAATTTTTCTAGATATATAAATAGAAATAAAATCATCTATAATAACTTTAGACTCAGTGAATTAATGTGAATATTAATTGAGAATTAGTAACACCAATTCATGCATGATAAGGATTTTATATTATTTATTACATATTGAAAAAATGAAAAGTAAAATATTATTGATATAATTGAATTGTCGTAGAGTTAAAATCGTCAAAAAAATAATTCTCACTTGATATTACGTCTTTCACCTCTCTTATTTTGGTTGAATAGTGCACGTTGTAGGCTTCAATTTCTTGGTATTTATGAACCAATTTTTGGTTATTTTTCACGATGTATGTATGTTATTTTCTGTTGCTTATTTGGGATGCCATGTTGAAATTTTATATAAATGTGTAATTAATCTAAGAATGGAAATATTAGTAAATATCCAAAGTAGAGCAATTATCTCACCCAACATCCACAAGCAGTTAGTAAATTTATTGAGTATCAGCCTCTACAGCCAACTAGAAGCAGTAAATTAAAATTAGTAGGATTTTGATAGTTGTACACCGGGTTTGACACCCCGAAATACCGATCCCTCATAATAGGGGGGGTCCTCGGCGAATTAAAAAAAAATTGTGGACCTCCCCTATTGTGAGGGGTCGGTACATCGGGGTGTCAAATCCGGTGTACAATTAGCAAGATCCAAATTAGTAATGCATTGTGAAGATTTAACAATGTTCTTGTCCCACGCATTTATGAGTTTTCTTGGCATGTTTGATAAGTGTAGAGGTGCTAAAAGTTTATGTGTTTTCTTGAGGTTTAGAACCTGGCATTTGTGTGTTTTTATTGTTTCCAATGTAAATTATGCGCCCGTTTTGCTCCCATTATTCCACATTATAATGAGTGGAATAATAATTTTTTTGGAGAATATTCGGTTAAAAAATAAGAATTTTTTTTTTTTGGATTTATGTATAATATTATTTTATTAGAGGATGTGTGATTGATAGAAAAAAAGAAAAAATGAATTATAATTTAATGGGGAATAATGGTGCCAAACGGGAGTATATATGATCTAGAATTTATATAGGTTGGGTTGCAGATTGATCTTTAATTAGTCAACAAAATAACACGAGATTAATTTAGTCACTGGTAGAAAATATCAAAATCTTATTATTTAAATAAATAATTAATAATATATTTGACATGAATTGATCCATCGATTAAACCATTAGATAATCAGTTGAACCATTGACCCATTGATCTATTACATTGTCTAGGTTAGTCCGCGAGTTGGATTTGATAACTATGGTATAGACACCTAAATGCTCGAAAATTCTTGAACCTTGATCTCTGTTTCTTAGATTTAACGTGAAATTTGAATAAAAAGTTGATTTTTGTCCACATGGGCTACGCTACAAAATATTTTATTAGGTGATAGTCGTCCTTGAAAAGTAAAAAATTGTAATGATCAGTAATTAAACTAGCGAATAACTTGGATTCTTGGAATATAATTTCAAATTGTAAAAGACACCTTTTCTAAGGCAACTTACCAATTTTTGACTGCGAATCCAAATCCAAAGCGAAGACATCCAATACCTTTATAAATACACATACACAGAGCAAAATAAAAGAGAAAAATCAATCTTGAAAGTACGATAGTTTTTCTTCTGGTTCTATTCACATTGAAATATAGGGTTTTTGTCATGGCAACGAAGAGCTTTTCTTTACCAGACTTGAAGTCTCAGAAGATTTTAGAGAAGCCATTGGAGGAGAAAAGGCAGAAGTTTAAGGTAAAGATGATGCTTCCTTTCGACGTGTATTACGAACATTGTGGTTTCTGCATGGGAAAGTGCAACAGATTTGTAGCAGTGAAGGAAGAGGCTGGATGGGAAACGTTATTTGAGATACCCATATGGAGGTTCAAATTCAACTGTTATTCATGTTCCGCTCCTTTTGCGATCAAGACAGATCCTGGCCGATATGACTACATTGTCGAATTTGGTGCAACCTTGGTTCCTAAAAACGTTAAGCCTTAGACAATCTTGTTTCGCTATCTATGGATCACTATATATTTTACGGTTTTTTAATTTTCATTCTAAGGTTGTTACTGCACTTTTTTCGAATGAATAAAATAATTCACTTGGAATTTTTCGAGTGATTTACAAGAATTTATAAGATCTTTAGTTGCATATTCAATGTTGACCATGAGGAATTAAGATTCGATTAATGATATAGTTGATGTGATTAATCAATAAATCTTTTATGAATTAAACAATTATCTTGACGTTCAAGAATCCTTATGAAGAATAAGATATATAAATTTGAATCCAAATTAAAATCTGAGTATAGTTCATGATACATCAATTTAAAGTTCTCATGATAAAGACTTCAAGAGAGAAATAGAAGAAATCATGCTTTTAAATCTTCATTAAAAATTTTCAGATGTTATAAATTTTTTTATATACAAATTAAGTTTACTCTGTTTCAGAAAATATTTAAATATATTCTTAGTAGATGTTTTTATATTATCCTCAATCCCATTAATTATGGTAATATATATGTGATTTTTAATTTTTAAATTCAAATTATATACAATGTAAGTCATACAGTTTCAACATTATTTGGAGAGAAATAGAGGTTTGCACGCATAAACTACATAATTCACAATTGCTGTATTTTATTTTTATAATACACATTATCAAGCAACATTCTTCTCACTTTCGTTGTGTCTTGTCAGAGTTGAACGTGCAAATACTTTATAAGAACTGTAAAAATAATTTTTGATACCAATTTGTTGGAAGGATTTGATAAGTTTTAAACGAATTAAAAATAAAATAAAATTTAGGATAAAAATTTAATAGAATAAAATAGTACTATCAAAACTCAACTTACATAATTCAAATTTTATTGTGATGATGGAATACTATAAATGGGCTAGATTTTTATACTATATTTGGTACATAAAAATTAATTGCTAATACGTTAATTTAAACACCCATTAATTTTTCTAAATACATGAAAAGAAATAAAATCATCTATAATAACTCTAGATTCTTGTAGATCAAGATTCACTCAGTCTAGATTAATATGAATTTTAATTAATTGAGAATTAATAACACCAATTCATGCATGATAAGGATTTTATAATATTTATAACATACTGAAAAATGAAAAGTGATACGTTCCAAATGATGTTCTCAATTAATTTTCCTTACTTAACGTAAATGTTTCGTCTTGAGTAGTAATATGGCAAGTAAATGTCATTTCCCGCAGAGGATTGGTTCAATTTTGTCAATTGCGCACTAAAAAATAAAATTAAAAATAATATACGAAATAGATTAAATTGAGGGTTTAGTTCGTTAAACTAAGGAAAACAATAAATTTAAAATAAAAAAACTTGAAATTTGAAATAAACAAAGTGGTTCTTGCTTGAATACGAGAAAATGTGATTGAAGGGTATTTCGTCACCACAAGAATCATTTTCATGTCAATTACTACAATATATTTTCACTCTCTAGATTAACAACAATTTGAGAATAATTACAAGCTCAATTATCTCAATCTCTTCTTACATATTGGTCGAATAAAACAAACTATTTACTCAACCCTATTCATTAAACAACTTAAAACAAGCTCTTTAGATTTAATTTAACAAAAGCATTATGACAAAAGAGATGAATTGAATTAAGGGCAAACTCGCGAATTCGGTTTACTAACTTAAGTGTTAATCCACATACATTCAATTGAAAATTCCTCATAATCAATCGAAATATAATTGTTACAAGGTTTAGAATAAATAGCGATTACGTACTATAAATCCCAAAATAACATTAGTTGAGACAACCCAATTATTTAGTTGTACACCTAAACAATTAATAAGAACAAAATTAACATTTAACACAATGGGTTAAACACATTAACCAAAAGAATTATAAAGCATGAATTAATTAAAAATCATAAAAGTTTGAAATAACCCCCAATCACAAATATATTTAGTTACCCCTGAAATATTCACAAATAACTAACATTTTCTTACAAAACATTGATGGAAAATAAGAGAAAAAACTTATTGATAAAGAGAGAAATAATCGATAATCCTTCAATATCAATGAATTTCCTTTTCCAAGCTATTAAACCATCTCCATGTTCCAATTTTCCTCAAACCGTGCAAGAAAAACTAGGTGAAAAGGAGGAAACAAAAAGAAAAGAAAAGTAAAAGAAAACCAACCAGAAAAACATCCAGGCCGGGTGCTCCTCAAATGGAAGAAAATCTGCCCTCCTTTCTTTGGCAAAGGGTTGGTTTTAAACTTAAACCTAGGGGGATTTGCAACTACGGTCCCTGAGAAATAAGAAAATAAAAAATAACTCCCCAAGTGGCGCCTAGGAGCCACAATTTCTGCCCATTTTGGACGGAAACGTGGACTGGGCGTTGTGGCGCCCAGCTTACTGGCAAAAAAAAAAAAAATTCTGAAATATCAATTACGTCTTCAAGCTTCCTCTTCGCTTCTCTTTATCTTTTTCGCCTTTTCTCGCATAATTTCCTTCAAATCATCACTCAACATTGTGTTTTACCCTCATAATAAAAACAACTAAATTAAGTAATAAATTGCTAATGAAACTCACAAATATCTATGTTTAATGGCCCGAATAAGTACAAAAACTCGCACTTATCAAAAATTAAAATATTATTAAAATAATTAAATTGTAGTAAGGTTAAAATAGATCAAAAAATAATTTTTACTTAATGTGATATTTAATATATTATAGATTACTTAATTAGGTAAACCAAAATTATGTAGACATACACATATATCACATTCAGTGCTTGTGTGGAAGAGGTAGAAATGTTGCTAAAAAATTACAATCATGGGGATTAAAAATATGTGAACATGTGGAGCAACACCATTGGACAGTTTGAAAAAAAAAAATGCCTTCGCCACATAGGTGCTGTCCACATAGCAATTGTCCCCACCTCAATTTGTAATCCGTATTTGAATAGCATCATTGAAAAAATTAAGTTCATAGTCAACAATTAATTTTTATTACAAATTACGTAGGACCCATGATTGTTATACACTTTCTAACCACTCATTTAGAAGCCCACACCATTTTTTTTTAAATTAAAAAAATCAACTTTTTAGCTCTTTCAAATAAACACTTTTGGTCCCTGTTTGATAGAAATTAAAGATTTTAATTTATGTCAAGTCAACAATTAATTTTAATTATATATTTCAAAAATATATAAGAAGTCATTTTACTGAATGGCCCATACAAGATGCTGCTGCTGCCCAGGCCAGAGAGGAGGCGATAGAGGTGCATGAAGGGAGAGAAGAGGCGGGTGACGGCGTAGTGGGACCGCAAAATTACAAACTTCCAGATTTGAACTATAAACCAGCGCATGACGACCATGATGCTGCTGCTTAGTTTAGTTCGCTGGATATTTCTATTCTTATACACTGATAAATATATAACAAACGCAATGTTTAAGATTTATGTTTCTCATTATAATACTAAAAATTAATTATATGTTTTGTTTTCTTAATTTTCTTATAATCTTATAGTTTTAGCTTTGTCTATACAAAATTCTAATTATCAATGTCATGTTCCTAAAAGTCATGAATCCCAATACTTTTTTGCACTAAGAAAAAAATAAAAAATTGAATGCCAATTTGTTCCAATTTATTTTGAAACTCTCATAAACACTTACATGTGTTGTATTAAAAGAATAATTAATGGTTTCCATCTAATTGAAGACTTATAAGTAAAAAATTTAAATGAGAACTCAAGTGAGGACTTATAAGTAAAAAATTTAAATGAGAACTCAAGTGAGTTATTTTTCAAAGAATAAGGACCTCAGAGGAAAATTTCCCATTCTATTATAACTACAGTTGCCACACATATGTTCCCAACAAGCACTGAAATTTAAAACTTCTTTGAAATGACCCAATTGAAATATCATAGCTGTATCTCGTATGCCACTCTGTCAAAACTCTATTTGGAAAAGTAACTGACTTGATAACATGGCTGACCAAAGTTTCACATGTGGCATGGGTTAGAAGTTAGATTTGCCACGTCAACAAAACCGTTAGTAACATAACAATAGTTGCTAATTAGATTTGCCCTTACTTCAAAAAAGTAAATCTATGATGCGTCACTAGTTAGATTAATCACGTCAGTAAAATAGTTAGCAACATAACGATAATTGCTAGTTAGATTTGCTCTTACTTCGAAAGGGTAAATTTATGATGCATTACTGATGATTTTGTTGATGTGGCAAGTTTAACTTCTAAATCATTCCACGTGTGAAACTATTTTTCTAACGGAGTTTGATTGGATATATCCGTTAGTCAGTGGCATTTCAGTGATGTTTTAAAGATCAGTGGTATGTCGGGAACATTTGAAATAATAAAGTGGCAGTTGGGATATTTGATATGAAGAAAAAAGGCAGCTAAACAACGCGATGCAGACATTAGAAAGGTAGATCCGCGTCTATTTGTCTGAGACCTTAACTCCTTCCAAGATTTTACCCAAATTCTGCAATTATAAGTACCGTTTAATTTGATTATAAGCTGCGGAAGGACTGAAGCCAAGATGATGTCCGGAAATTATACATCGATTGACAATCAAAATGTCACCGGATCTGTTCCTGTAATTACGTAATCCCACTCATTTCTTTTTAAGTTATAGATCTGTTTTTAATTGTCTAATTTGTTTATAATCTTGGTTGTTGTAGGCAGTCGCAGATACACCTGGCCATGTTTCTGTTAAATTTGCGGGTATTTATTACTTTTGTTTTAGTTCAATTTATTTTACATTTGTTCTTCTTCTTTTTTTTTCGTAGAATTATTGTGTTAAGATTTATTGGATATTGCAGAGTCGAATCTGCAGACATTTCCTCCTTCAGGTCCTCAGGGAAAGATCTCCGGTGCCGCTGGACCCCCTCGCGATACAGATGGTATTTTTGTTTAATCAAGCATCAACTTGTGTGCTTATCTTGTTTTGCAATGAGGGGAGTTTGATTTTTTATAACAAAAGAAGCTATGTATAATTTCGCATTCTGTTATTTCTTTTTAATCGCTGGTAATTAGGTCTCTTTATGGTATTGACTTATTGTTATCATTAGACGTCGAATGAGTAAGAGTGTTAACTAATCATATAGAGTTGATTCAGTTGAAGATGCTTGAGATTCGATTGTCTAGGCTTATGCGTTTTCACTCACAAGAAAGTTTATAACAATTTTCAATATTTGATAACTTAAGTTTGTGACTAATTTGAAACATCTCATTTTCATTACTTTCCATGACGTAATAGCTTTATATGCTTTTAAATATTTAGGAGGTTATATGTTCTGTGTCTGTTGGATAAATTATTTAATTGTGCCTAAATTTTATTTTCTAGACTTCAACAACCTAAACGCACTGCCCAATAATTTTGGGTCAGCCTCTCTTTTGTTCCCATTGTGTTCCTTCCGCCAGACAGTACCCTTTTTTGCTATTTTATTCAATCCATGAGTACAACATACTGTAGAGGAATTTGTGTCATTTCAAATCCCCATTCTTAACGAAGAGAATGAACGAGATAAAGATCTGATGCAGTCAAATGCTTCACACTCACGTGTTAATTTGGATATGCCTGTCTTTCCTTTTAATTTTTTTTTGTTCAGATTTTGTGGTTCTTGTGATAAGTTCCACACAAGACATATACCAACTACTAAGTTGGCATTCCTTCAAGTTATCCTCAAATGGTGTCCCACGAGTTCCTTCTAAACATTCTCATGTTCACTACATTTATTTGATATGAATATTGCTCTCTGATGGCCTAATAGTTCATATCATAATAAAGCATGGCTAGTTTAAGATTTTCTATGTAGAAACTACCTTTCAGTTTGTAGAATTCTTGTTGTAATTCACTGTTTCATCCAATTCTTTTCAATCATGTGCATTTACTTGTGAACAATGCGATCCTCTATATTGACTGTACTATACTTATTCATACGATAACTAAAAGAACATTTCATAGATTTTATCCTTGTTATAATCAACCTGAAACCTTTAAATTCTAAAGTTCTCCGAAGTTCTACCTATGATTTGTTTCCCTTAATCCTTGTAGTCTCACAAACTATGTTTTTAGTAAGTAAGAGATACCAAGGGGCATCTTGGATATGTCGTGTATGCTCATCCATGATTATAACAAAAAGATAAGGGTTCGTGTTAGAACCTCGATGCAGACTGAAAGTTTTGTAAATGTATTGCCACTACACTTCACACTCATGACTGATTCATCAGACCATTACTCATTTTACAAATGATTTATCTATTTAAAACTGTTTTTATCGTTATCATCATAAAAATTATTGCAAGGATTGATTTTGTGTATGTACTCTTTTCACTAATCTTGAATTTGGTAAATGACTTTCACAGTGTGTCTTTTTCATCTAAAATCAAATTAGTTTTTGGAGACCTTTGCATTAACCTTGGCAACTTGTGCTGCATCGGCCAATCTGTCAAAGCAGATTTTCTCTTCATGAAGCTATCAACAGAAAAACTCATCATCTTCTCAAGACAATAAATGATTCTTGGGGTCTTAACTATTGTACCATTTGTTCCTTTTTTAATAAAGTTTTTCATATTTAATAGCTTTCAGTACTTTACTGTTTCTGAGTTGTATATTTTTGGAACAAGTGTCCATATATTAAAAACAGTAAGAAGCGATAACTTTTCCAGCCTTTCATATTCCTTCCGTCTCAGTTTTACATTTGCAATTGCTAGACTTTGTTTTTCATTTCTTACTGCATGGAAATCCTTTGTCACCCTTTTGGTTTTCTACTGGCTTACATTTTTTGAAAAGATCATGCATTGTTAGAGGTTTCTGTAGTATTTTTAGGCCTTAAATGCTATTCAACCATCATATTTATTAAGTTGGGTTCTACTTCTTATCTATATATCATTTTTCTTCATTCAAAAATCTATCCTTGAAAGTTGCTTGTTTTTCACCATGCACATTCCACCATTCTTTGAATTTGAACATGGTTGCTTATGACTTCTTTTCTATTTCTTAATAACCATTTCAAGTACAACCCAACCTCTAATTTTTAGTTCTCTCTCTAGAAATAATCTTTACACACATATCCCCATCCAGCTTCCTAGTTAGAAAAAAACCTAGTGCACAATTATTATTATTATTATTATTAGTATTATTATTCCATTTCTGAAAGTTACTATGCGAGATTCTTGTATTTTCTAATGCCAACTCTTAAGTCACCCCAGAGTCCAAAAATTATTCATTTTTCGTTCCAGTTCCTACATTTCTACTTCCCTTATTTTTTTGCTTGTATGCTGAAGTTCGTAACCCTTGCCACCTAATTCTTTTATTTCTCGTCTACGCAGTTTGACAGTCCTTGTAAAGTTCTGTGTATTGAGTACCATGTCATAACGAGAATAAAAATCATGTGTGTAATGCCAGTATCTAAACTTTTGGCTGCTTTTTGTTGTCTGTGTAACTGTGTAAGCTCTTGGCCAGAACCTGGAATTTTGTTTTGGGTCCTTATCCTAATTTTTTTATAGAAGCAGTATGGTAATGGTCTTGATTTTGTGAATGGTGTCTGGATTTGATTGTGAACATGGAGTTTGTTTGACCAGGGATAATTTTCATTAGGAAACCTGAAAGTGCCAATGATTATTTTATTGGACAAGAAGTACCAGTACTGTAATCAATGATCAAATGACAGGGATCTATAATATACCTAAAACTGCTACATAAACAAACTGGAGCGAGGTAATTCTGTCAGTAGGAAGATTGGTATTTTCTCATTGATAAACTCCTACTTGGATAAGTTAAAAATTAGTGGCACCACTCTGGATGTAATGCAAAAGCTCTGAAATTTACTGTCAGGATACATTCTTGTTTTCAGATTTAGGTTTGAGGATTTGAGCTGCATCAAACTTTATCTCATCCTCGTGGAACATAAACAAAAAAGAAAGATGAAAAAAGAGACAAAAAAAAAAAAAAAAGAAACTCAAAGTTTTACATGGTAATGATGACATGTCTCAAGAGTCTTTCTTTTTCTTATATGCAGATCTATTTGGATGTATTTCCTCGTGTTTTCTTTCCATTCTTTTCTTATTTTAATTCATTTTTCTGATAAATTGGATTTGTTTTAATTATGTAGATACATTCTCCAAAACTTCATCTGGTTCTGATGCCCCCGAGCAAGGTGGTTGGTTTCGAACCTTTACCATTGCTGCATACAGGCCATATTTTGATGTTGACACATCTGATGTTTTGGAAAGGATAAAAGATTCACTCTTTCCTTTCCGAGGAAGCTTCACTGAGAAGACCGCTAACAACCCAGATTTGTAAGTTGTGATGCTATTTCCAATTCTGTCTGGGAACTGAGATGGAGTAATAACTTTATGAATATTGCACAAACACTTCACTATGGGACTTAGATGTTTGTTTTTGGAACTACTGAGATAGTCACCTGTAAAATGATGGATACAACGTCGGGTGATATATAAGATTTGTATGTGTTCTTTCCTTTTAGTAAAATATGAATGCTGCTTCAATTCATGTGACCCTGAAGAAGATATAACGTCTGCAATCCTGAAGGCAAAATTTTCATTCTAGCAGCATTCACGTGATGATCTCAAGCATGTATTTGTATTTTAAGCGTTGAGATCAATATTGCAGTCTCTTTAAGTGGGTAGAATCATTTATATGTAGGGATGTGCACATCCCAGATTCTCACCTAGACAAGCCATATCTCATAGTATTAGACCAGATATTTGGGCGCACAAAATTTTTGAATAGAATTTCATTTTATTGAGATGAGAGCCTCAAAGATGCCCCGACTTATTGAGATTTTCAAATTTAAAAGAACCTGTTGTGTAGGGCCACTGGCAGATCTAAGTAACTGAGTATTATTTGTTTTCGTTGTGCAAACACTGTAATTGTGGTACAATCTGTATAACATAAGCTCCCTCCTTACTGGCTGACCCTGTTGAATTAAATCCTTCTTTCTGTTGATCTCCTTGAATAGAATTTGTCAGGAGCAGTTTAATTGTGTTGGTATGATTTCTTTGGACTCTTTTGATGTCTGTTTATTGGGATGAGTTATATCATCATCATAATCATTATTTAAGTAGTACAATGTAAGTATAACTCATTAGAGATAATTAAATTAACATATGCATTCAATTGGAAATTGATTAATTCAAGGTATATGTTTGTGGGAAAATATATTCACATATAATTAGACTAGTGTCCGCTGGTGCAACCTCAACCCACAATGTAGTTCTGGGTCTCATCCTTCACTTGAAAAAAATTGTCTTCATATTAAAAGTGTGCTTCCGTCTTTCCCTATAGATCTCACGTCAATGATTGTAATCTGTGAGTCAATTTTTTTCTTTTTTAAATAGCAAAAATTGAAATGCAAGGACATAGCAATAATAACTTTTGGATAGATTTGCCATTTCTTGTATCCAAGCTAATTTCATTGAAATTTTAGACAGGAATAATTGCGTTTGAGCGTATAATATGAAACCTTCTTATAATTCCTAATGTATCACTGAAATGCATATGAAATAATTTATTTGATGGAGGCATCAATATCATGTCTCGTTCTTTCATCATTTTCCTTTTTCCATAAAAATTGTGTTATTGCTGTTAATCTTCCGTGCTTCATAGGTATGGCCCATTCTGGATATGCACCACCTTAATATTTGTGGCAGCTTCTATTGGTACATTTGTTACATACTTAGCACACAAATGGCAGAAGAAGGAATGGAATTATGATATCAATCTGGTTACTTGGTCTGCTGGTTTGTTCTATGGCTATGTCACTATTGTGCCGGTTGTCTTGTATTTAATTCTCAAATACTTCTCTGCTCCATCCGGACTTGCTCAGTTGTTTTGTCTGTATGGCTACTCCCTCTTCGTCTATATTCCCACTTTGGTAAGTTTAAACTTGAAGTTTTGATTGATATTCATATTGAATTCAATTTGATTGTATTAAAGAAGGAAAAAGTAATTTAAAATCTTGTTTATTATACTATCCAGTGTAGTTTGTTCAGTACTATGTACCAAACATATTTTTATAGCTCAAATGATATTTACTGGATTGGTGAATCGTGATTGTTATTGCTTTGCAGGGTCTCTCCATTGTTCCTTACGAAATCTTCAGATGGGTTGTCGCTGGCGTGGCAGGGTTCATGTCTGCTACTTTTGTTGCCCTCAACCTCAGAAACCACATTAGATCTGCTGGTGAAAGTTGGTTCTTGATTGTGGCTGGCATCTTCCTGTTGCAGCTGGCTCTCGCTTTGGTACTTAGGCTCTACCTGTTCACTGTAAACGTGTAAGCACAACTGCATTTTTAAACTTCACAAACCCATTGTTATAGATCATAGATAAGGGACATTTCTCATCGACTGTCTCTCCTCCCTTGAATTGGTATTCAAGGCCTACTCTATTCATTCATTTTTGACAATTTAGAATCCTATACTGTTGAGAATATTGAATTGCTCCACTTTTGGATTGATCAAAATGTGAATATAAAGGCAATAATACTACCTTACTCAAAAGAATGTAATCATACTTGCTTTGAATTTTGTTAATATGGTGTGTGGATGTAGATTTTGTCGTATATTCCGGCAAAGTTGACTGCATTTTAGTCTTGATGGGCATGATAGTGTGTAAATTTATGGTCAAGCTAGTAATTATGCTTGCTGTTAGTCTAATTTATTGGTAAGCTAAAGGTGCAAAAGTCTTCCACAAGCGTGGAATCTTGTTTACATTTGTGTCATAGGTTTTCTGAAAGTAGCTAGTCAAAAAAGCAAATAAATCTAGTGGCCCTTTTGAACATGTCAGTTTCATATTTCTCAAATCCGATAATCTTGAACGTGCGGTTGTGCCACCGTCTGTAAGGTGGATTGCATAGTGCTAGATAATGCTATGAAAAAAGAAAAGAAACAAAAATTTTAGACGTAAAGTTTCGTCTTATCTAATAATGTTTATTATAAGCACTTTCATTTTTTGTTCTTTCTTATGCTATGTTATACTAACATAGGCCTTGTAGAAATATTGTAATGTCCCGTCTAATCCAATATCACAAGAATTTATGGGTCAAGAGACAGAGGAGAAAATATTTTGGGTTTCGTAAAGTTTAATTATTATTAAAATGTAAGTCTTCCCCTTTTTTGAAGAAAGCCGCCACAACAAACAGTAGAAGAAACAAAAAACTTACTATACTATCTAATGAAACAAACCTAAAGATGCCTTTAAGAAAAATGTGTTGCTTCTTTCAAAAGGCAAAACCCTAATTTCATAACTTGATAAATTAATTAACACGAAAAAGAAGAAAAGTCTCATAAATTAGGAGTACTTTCCCTTGATAACTGCATTGTCATGGACTTAATGTTATAGTTTACAAAGAGAGGATGCCGAAAGGAGAACTGAACTCAAGGCAGAGTCAAATTTAGATCCTGAAATTGTGGGCTATGTTGAGGTGATAGAGAAGTATTTAATTACATGTTTGTATGAAATACTTGTACTGTATTTGTCTTTTTAATCATAAAACTACGAAAATAATTAATTTATTGAAAATTCTGTAATATTTCAATAACTGTATGTACCTAATCCATCTAGAATATGGCCAGTTTGGAAAAGTTATTCGATCCATCTCTTTTCTTGAGAGAGTGTCTTCGATCATGAGCACTTGTGTTCACACGCATGGTACTTCTTTTAACCCTGATTATTTTCACACTCGACTATTTGATACCAATATATAGACAGGGCTTTGTTGTGATTTTAAGAAATGTTAGTATATTCTTAATTAATGAAAGAAGAGTTTAAGTATTAAAATAATTAAAAAAAATCCTCATTCATGTATAAAATAATAAATGAAGACAAACCTTCAAGCCTTGCTTCCCGGGTTGTGTTTGTTAGCATTGACAAATGAGAGTATCTATATTCCTTGTTTCACACTTGTAACTCCTTCACTCAATTACATGCAACACCCCAGCCTCACCCCAAGAAAGAAATTGTTTGTCATATCTAACTTTTCAAGTCTTCAAGACAACCCTACTCTCTCTCTCTCTCTCTCTCTCACACACACACACACACACACGTACACTCACAGAAACACAATATTAATCACTCCTCTCTCTCTTTAACACACACAAAAGCACATTGATTGGTGTCAAAGTGCAAGTGATGTTGATGAAAAGGAGTAAAGTTGGGTGTCTCTTAATATTTTTGTTCAGTTTTTGGGCTCTACTAGTAGTGGGAGCTAGGCATCTACAAGACAAACCAAGAAACTATGAAGAAAAACCTAGTATTGGGAATACAACTGTTTCAAGTTCTGCTAATGGTTCTGAAGGTTTTGTTGCTACCATCAACAGAGAGGTACCGTCGAGTCCTGATCCTTTACACAATCGCTAGAAGATTCACTATAAGAAATTTCGTTGTAAAAAGTCATTATTTGGTTGTTTTGTCAAAGAGGTTCATCGAGAGGCATTTCAAGACGGCAATTTTCGAAAGACTTTCAAGACAAATTTTTGTTGTTAAAGGTGAAATTTCTTCTAGTGGTGATTATAAAGAAAATGATACACGTCCATGTTAAAGAAGTCTTTTTTTTTTTTTTTTAATATATAGTTTTGGTTTTGGTATTTTAATTAGTTATCTTTTGGTCCGTAATTTTGTCTCTTTTCTTTCGTATTTCACATGTTACACAGTGACTCGGATTAACTTCCAGTTTTCATAAATCTTATAAACTTTATTTGAATAATTTTTTTTATGTTTTTTTTTTTTTAATATCATTGCAATTTGCATCAATTGTATACATGTTGGATGTATGTTACGATGTTTTTAGTATTTTTATTAGTTTATTATTCGTTTCCATTCGGTCCAAAATCATAGGAGTTAGATGAATCCAACATGTTGTATTCTTGCACTGTTTCTGATTTGAGAAAAAATCCTGCCACTCTCTCTCTCATATCCAATTTATTTCATGTTTTGATAGTATACAAATATAAAAGGAAACACCACATAAATCCTTAATTTAAAAATCAAATTTCAAAACTAACAAACTTTTAAATTTTTTTCAAAAATAAGGTGATAATTAAATTTATTAAATATTTAATTATAATATAGTATAATTAATCTACTTATTCTACCCCACCTCCAATCCATCCATTCATCACATCAAACCATTATTTTTCTCTCTCCATCCCACCTCACTTCCGACGACGACTCCGGCAACTTTTTCAGCGACGGCTCCGACAGATTCTCCGGCGACAACTCCGAAGCTTCCGGCGATGGCTTCGACGACTTATCCCGTTCCGACGACCTCTCCGACTGTTCCGGCGACTATTCCGATGACAACTCACCTTTTCGTCGAGTACCTTTTTTTTCTCTTCTTTTTTGGCAATGACTTGTGACTAGTTGTATTAAATCTGTGACCTGTGCACATTATTATCTGTGATCAGTTCTGTTGAATATGTTACCTAATTAGGTGGGATGAATATGCATATGATTAATTTCAAAATTACGAAATAAAGTTTGAAATTTCAAAAATCAAAATAAGGTTAAGATTTTAGTTATAAAATAGTTAATCAAAAAAATATTTTTGTAATTAAATATATTAAATTCACAATTTTTTTCTGGGCAATAACCTATGACCTGTGTACATTGTGACGTATAAAATATGATTTTCAACCTGTGATTTGTTACTCGTGACTCGTAATATAAAATGTGACATATAAATTTGATCCATGACTTTTACAAAACGACATGTGACCTGTTAATATTGATCCGTGACCCCGTTTACAGTGATTTGTGACTTATATGAAACGACTGTGATTTGTGAATTCAAACCTGTGACTCGTGAACCTTGACCTTAACTCAATCACAAATAAAAAATTTCAAGGGTCACAGCATATGTATCGGTCACAAATCAAAAATTTTATAAGTCACGGACTATTCATCGCTCAATCAAAACTTTTATTGATTATAACTCATTTTTTCATTGCAAATGATCAAATTAATTAGTCACAATTATTCATTGCAACTCATTTTTAAATGTTTGTAACCATTAATATGTTGAGTATGACTTTTTGTGATCAAGTGTGTTAATTGTGATATATTATGACCAGTAATGTATTGGATGTGACATGTTGTCTAACTATAATATGTTATCACAAATTATATCTGACAAAAAATTAACCTAAATTAAATAGCAGTCATAATACATAGATGTTATCCACATTAACGCAACATCCATCATTCGTAGTATTAAAAAGGTGAAAAAAATCATCTACATGTCCGTAATAACCAACAATTGAATCACATACTAGTCACAAACTAGACAAGGTCACAATCACGAAGATACAATTTGTATGTCATAATTATAAATTTAGTCTCAAATTACACGTTTTTATATATCATAAATTATTTAGGATCACAATTTACCAAATTATTCTCTTATCCCTCTGTAACAAATATTTGCCAACTGGGGAGGGGGTTGGGAAGCGCAGTTGATGAGATATATATACACACACACAGATCACAATGTAAAATATCGTGTTTCTCTGTGTACTTCACTACAATAAAAGTTCTAAAAATCCAAACCGACATCGACAAATAAAAAATTGAAGAATCTGTCAATTTCATCATCAAAACCAACCACATTCTCAAAATAGCTACCATTTTTATAAATTCACCAAATTGTTCTTTGATTTTGGTAATAACTCTTCTTTGTTTTTGGTGAGGCAAAAGATTTGATTCTGGTAATTTGTAGACTATTATGGGGAAAAAACAAGGAGAGACTGGGCGTAGATCTATGGAGTAGAAGATTGGCAAACGCCATTGTTTCTCCTTATTCATGCTAGCCTTTTCAATTTTTTCACTAATCTTCTTGAGTTAGTGGGGGAACAACGAGCTTCATCGCACTGCACACTGTTGCGACGGTGCTTGCGTAATCCGAAAGAGTCAATGGAGGTGACTGCTACGGGAATTTTTTTGGTGGTTGTTGTGTGGTATAGATGGTGAGTTGTTGAGTGTGGTGTTGGCGAAGTGGTGCCGGCGGTGTGGTGGCGACTGTGCTTCCTGGTGCTGACTGGAGAAAGGAGAGGTTTGTATGGTAGAGATGGTGAGGTTGTTGAGTGTGGTCAGGGCCGATCCTATGATCATCGGGGTCCGAGGTGAAGTCCATAAATTGGTCCCCCAACGAAATCAACGTAAATGTAAAATCCAGCGATATATCTTGCATCCTATTACTAAATTAAAACAACAAACAAATATATTATTTCAACGGTATATTATGCAATCTAATGTCTAATGATTAACCTAAAGGATAATTAAGAAATATCTCAATCATCTCACAATTAGAGTTTTCAATATAGTTACTACATACGTCTATGCAATTGTTGATCATAAAATAATCAATTATATAAGCCGACCAAGCCGCCATTATATAAGCCGACAAGGTTTCAAACATTTCCAACATATTCAATAACAAGCTAGGGCAAGTCATCGCTGAATTGAGAAGTAAAATTTCAATGAAAATTATGGAATCACACCCTTGAGAATTCTACCGTCACAATTCATAAGCCTGAAA